TACGAGGGATACTAGTAGAAAATGCCGTGGTGGATACTGGCGCGCAGAGTGTGTTACTGGGAAGGAAGCTGACCGAGCAGTTAAAGGCGCAAGGAGGATGGGAAACCGTAAGGCGGGGGATACTGATCATGACTGCTGAAGGAGGGGCTCCTAAGTGGATGCCCTGTACGAAGGATCTAATCGAGATCACGCTGCAGCCGGGAGGGGAGGGAGAAACAACGATAAGGGTGCAGTGCGGACTGACAGAGTCAGACGATTACAATATATTACTAGGAATGGAGCTGCTATACAAGATAGGGACCACTATATGCACCTGGCAGGAACATGTGCTATACCGCTCGGATTTCTGGGAGGAGGGGAAGGAGCTGAGTGAATTGCCAGTGCGTTTCATCAAGACTGAACCCAAGAAAGCTTGGAGAGCGGGAAGCATGGGGCAAGGAGGAAGTAAAAGCGTTGGGAAGATCAGGGATATTCGGGCGGGGGAAAGCTTAGACCAAGATGGTGTTACCCTGGTGGAGCTGTTCGGGGGGCTGGGAGCCGGTTTAGCGGCAGCGCTAGAGGCTGGCCTGAGGGTGAAGAAGTGGATCTATGTGGAGGTAAATCCTGAAGTTCGGAGGATGGCCTGGAACCACGCACGGGTACTACAGCAACGATACCCCGCTCAGCTGGGGAAGGCTGTGGTGAAGGAGGCTATGTAGAGCAAGAAATGGGATGTGAAGCAGATTACCAAGGAGGACGTAAGGGAGTGGGGCAAGGTGGATCTGCTAGTAGCTGGCTGGGAGTGTCAGGGCACCTCGAGGGCCGGGAAGGGAAAGGGATTGCAAGATGAACGCACGGGGCTAGTGACAACGCTACTGGAAATCATGAGATGGATAAAGGAGGCAGGAGGAGAGTACGCTTACATTTTAGAACACGTGGACATGAGTGGTGACGCCAGGGAACCGGTCCGAGCAGTACGCGAGCTGGTGGAAGCGGAATTGGGAAGGGGGGTTAGGTGTGACGGGGCGCAGCTGGGGGCACTAACCCATCGGGTTAGGCGCTTCTGGCAGAATGGCCTGCCGGAGGGGGAGTTAGGGCTCGGTTGGCCGGAATAGAGAGAGACGGGACTAGGATTGTGGAAGATATCCTCGAGCCAGGGAGGGTAGCTGCTCCAGTGGTCAAACCGGATCACCCCCTACAGTACCAGTGCAACCGGGTAGGGGAAGCGAGAAGAGCTTGGCCGACGTTAGTGGCTTACGCGAAAGCTCGAGGCTTTATTGAGCAAGACGGAAATCCCGGCCCAGGGAAGGTGTACGATTACCGGAAAAGGAAGTGGGAAGAGCCGACCGCCTTGGAACGCGAGTTGGCCATGGGGTACTTTCCGGGAGCCACTGCAGCGGAGGGAGTGGGGGAAGAGGCTCGTCGAGCAGCCTTGGGCAGGGCTATCGATCAGCATTCGCTGAGATGGCTGGTGACTGAAATGAGGAAGGGTCCAGGGCAGCAGGGAAGGAAACAGGAGAGAGGAGGAGGTCAGTGCTATAAACAAGCAGCATACGCAGCAATAGAGAAGGTGGCTACAAAAGGGACACATGCAGAGGCGCAGGCAGGAGTCAAGGACACGGAAGCAGGCAAGGGATGGGAGATAGGAGCCAATATAAAGAAGGAGGCAGCGGAAGCTATCAGGCAGGTACTGCAGCAGCACAGAGGCACTTTCGCATACAACTTACAGGAGCTAGGAAGGTACAAAGGGGGAGAGCTGGAGTTAAACTTAACCACAGAGCTGCCCACTTATCAGCGCAGGAGGCGGATGAATGCTGAAGATGCGGCTATCTGCAAGGAAAAATGCGAAGAGCTGCTGGCAGCAGGGATAATACGCCCGTCGGAGTCGAGTTATGCTGCGGCCACAGTAGTAGCCACTAGAAAAGACATCACGGGGAAAGTGTTAGCGAAGCGGATGTGCGGGGATTTTAGGGACCTGAACAAGATCACCCAACCGGACCGATATCCCATGCCGACAGCGGATGAGATTTTCGATAAACTAGAAGGAGCAACGATCTTCTCCACGCTGGACTTAAGGCAGGGGTTCAACCAAATCGCTATCAAAGAGGGGGACAAGCGGAAAACAGCTTTCCACGGAGTGGACGGGCTGTACGAATACAACGTGATGCCGTTTGGGGTGCGCAATGCTCCAGCCGTGTTTCAACGGGCTATGGATCAGGTACTGAAGGGAATCCCAGCAGCAGCCTGCTACATTGACGACGTGCTCATCTTTAGTGAAAGCGACGAACAGCACGTGCAGGACTTGAAGCAGACGTTGGAGGCGATAGCAGCTGCAGGACTTACGTGCCACCCGGACAAGTGCAAGATAGCCCGCCGCACAGTGGCGTACCTGGGGTTTGAGGTGAGGGGGGGCCGACTGGCGATACAGGAAGCTAAAGTCAAGGTGCTGGAGGATTTGGCTGCACCGAAGGATAAATCTGGGCTACGGGCGCTCCTTGGCTTCCTGAACTATTACAGGAAGTTCGTGCCGAATTTCAGCCGCCGAGCACACGCCTTGAACCAGCTGCTCAGGGAGGGGAAGAGTTGGCAGTGGGGAGAGACTGAAGAAGCAGCCAGGCAAGATCTGCTAGAAGCAGTGAAGACGGGTACCCTGCTGCAGATACCGCGGGCGGATGCGCCATTCGTCCTGTACACCAACTGGAGCAGTATGGGGATGGGGGCAGTGCTCTGTCAGGAGATAGGCGGAGAGGAGAGAGTCGTAGCATTTGCCAGTCGTAGCTGCAGCCCTACTGAAGCTAATTACAGCTCGTACGAAGGGGAAGGACTGACCGCCGTGTGGGGAATCACCCACTTCAAGGTGTACCTGCAAGGCCGACACTTCACGCTAGTGACCGACCATCAGCCCTTGCTATGGTTGATGAAGAACCAAGAACTGACGGGCAGGAACGCCAGGTGGGCAATCAAACTGCTGGGATTCGACTTCGACATCCGTCACCGACCGGGCAAGACACTGCAACACGCGGATGGGTTATCTAGGAACCCGCCTCCACTGCAGCCAGTTGCACAGCTGATAGCGTTAGCGCAGGTGGCTGAAGCGACCTGGGGGCAAGAGAAGGGAGAGCAGCGGCAGGGGGATGTGTGGGAGGATCGGGAGACTATGGGGTGGATCAAAGGGGAGCCGGTAGACGACTCAGGAGTGAGTGAACGAGCCAGGGCTAGGGGGCAGCATTACCGATGGTTTCAGGATCAGCTACAACTGCGCACCACGGAAGGATGGCGAGTCGTACCACCGCCGCAAGACAGGGAGAGAATCATGTTGAAGGTACATGGGAAACTAGGGCATTACGGAATGGCTAGGACTCGGCAGCTGCTGTGCACGATGTACTGGTGGTCAGGTATGAGGAAAGACGTGGCTGCAATGGTGGCATCTTGCGAAGCTTGCCAGCGAAACAAGGCTGCTTTGGAGAGGGAAAGAGACGAGCTGCAGTCCCTACCGATCCGAGGTTTGGGGTACCGTTGGTCATTGGACTTGGCAGGAGAATTACCTCTGTCCACCAAGGGTAAGCAGTACATCCTGGTAATGATGGAGCATACCAGCAAGTGGGTGGAAGCCAGGGCTTTGCCCAGCAAGAATAGCAGCTTGATTGCGGAGGCCTTCGTGCAAGAGGTGCTCACCAGGTACGGAGCTTGCGGGGAGGTGCTGACGGATCAGGGAACCGAATTCCAAGGTAACTTTGAGGAGATGCTGAAAGAGCACCGAATCACCCATCGGGTGACTTCCAGGTATCACCCGCAGTCGGATGGGTTGACTGAACGAATGGTACAAACCCTGAAGAAGGGACTAAGGGCATACGGGGAGAATAACAAGAGGAACTGGGATAAGGAGCTCCCCTGGATCCTGGCGGGGTACAGGTTTGCTAAGCAGTCTGCCCTAAAGGATCTATCACCCTACCATCTGCTATACGGTCGAGACCCAGTTTTACCCGTGGATGCGCCGAAGCTGTTGTCAGTGACCGTGGAGGCAGATGAGCCAGGTTTATGGGCCGAAGTAGCACAGAAGAGGGCTCGGTACCTGAGGGAGCTGACACCTGCAGCCTTGGATAATCTGCACGTGGCTCAGCTGAGGGATGCCCGTCGATATCAGCAGCGTAAGGAAGAGGGTAACGGAAAGCAGAGAGAGGCTATAGCAGCGGGGCAAGAGGTATACCTGAGGAAGGCGAAGAAGGACACGCTGGACTTAGCTGTGGGTCCCGAACGGTGGAAGGTGAAGGAAGTACGGGGGTCGGGAGTGTTAGTGCTGGAGGACCAGCGCGGAAGGAATATCAAGGAGCATGCGACGAATGTGGCTAGAGCAAAGGGAGTGCAGACTCAGGCTAAGAATCCCGTGACCCGAGCTGCAGGAGCTGCTGCTCAGGCACGGGAGGGGGCAGGGTCGCCTGGTACACGAGGAGGGGAGGAGAGTAAGCTCATTACATATGTCAGGAGGAACAAGGGGCGGAATGGATCACCTGCTGGGGGGAAGGGACAGTAAAGGAAGGGGAAGGAGGGAAGAGGAGAGAAAGAGGATAGAAGGCTGCAATGAGGAAGGTTCGGCTGGACCTGCATCACGACAGCTGTCGCGTTATTAACACCTAGCCGGTGGCTAAGGTGTGAATTACACAGCAGCCAGGTAATGGTGCATTTCTGGTTATGTACTCTAATTTCTTTTTGTGTGCGTGGGATGTACTGTATATACGCTATAGAGCCGAGTGCAGGGGACTACAGGGAGGTTGGTGTGGAAGGAGGAATTCGATTCCAGCTGGGGAATTCGATTACAGCTGGGAATTCGATTTCAGGTTGGGAATGCAATTCCAGCTGGGAATGCGATTCCAGGCTAGGAACTCGATTCCAGCTGGAAGGCAGTGCATGCCTAGTGGGCCCGTTGTGATGCTGCAGGGTGTTTTTGATGCAGCATGATGGAGTGGCCCGTTGTGATCTGACTTGACTAACCACAGGCTCGCCCCAGATTGAATTGAACTCACCTGTGGCGGCCCACCAGCTGCATGAGCGACGTGAGGCGGATGTACGCCTCCAGAGTGCTGGGGGCGGATGGGGAGAGGTTGGGGGAGGATGGGGGGAGGTTGGGGGCGGTTGGGGGTAGGATGGGGGAAGGATGGGGGGAGGATGGGGGCAGGCATTGATGATAAAGCATGCGTGCTTGTAGAGAGTCAGGGGACTTAGATGGGCGGGGGTGGCATGGCTGTGAGAGCAGAGCACTTTTGAGCCGTCTCAAAAGGCTGTGAGAGCACAGGGAACTCTTGTTTTTCAACCCCAACTCTCCTTCTTTCCCCCAAACCCAGCTCTCCCTTCCTCAACCCCTCCACTCCCCACCCACTCTCCCGCCCGCCATTCACACTCCCACTCCCCACTCACTCTCCCACCCGCCATTCACACTCCCTCCGCCAACTCACTCTTCCAGAGCCAGCGCTTTATGCAGGGCAGCCAGTGCAAGGTCCACCTCCCCCAGCTCCTTGTGCACGCGGCCCTTCTCCGTCCACAGGTGCGCCGACATGGGGTGGCGTTTCACTGCCTCTGCGAACACGGCACTCGCATTGCGCCACTGCCCTGCCCCCGCCAGGGCTATGCCCTGTGGTGATAGAGGAAGAGAAGGGGAGGGGGGGAGGGAAGGAAAGGGAAAGGGTTCACTAGAGGATCAGATATTGGGTGGCATTTCACTGCCTCTGCGAACACGGCACTCGCGTTGCGCCACTGCCCTGCACCCGCCAGGGCTATGCTCTGTGGTGACAGAGGAAGAGAAGGGGAGGGGGGGAGGGAAGGAAAGGGAAAGGGTTCACTAGAGGATCAGACATTGGGTGGCGTTTCACTGCCTCTGCGAACACGGCACTCGCGTTGCGTCACTGACCTGCCTCCGTCAGGGCTATGCCCTGTGGTGGGGGAGAGGAGGGAGGGGAGGAGGGAGGGAGGTGGGAGAAGAGTAGGGAGCGGTGGAGGGAGGGGAGGAGGGAGCGGAAGAGGAAGGGGAGGAGGGAACAAAAGAGGAAGGGGAGGAGGGAGCGGAGGAGAAGAGGCAGGTCAGTAGCTCACGAGCAGGAGTTGATACCTCGGGAGAGATGAGCAATGGCCGTTATGACTGAGGTCATGAGAGGTCAATGTAGGAACGGAGGTTCACAACTTGGTGCGGTTGGTATGACCCAGGTCATACCAGGTCAACGCATGTCAATGCAGGTCAACGCAGGTCCAAGCAGGCCAGAGAGGAGGAGATTGTACCTTGGCGCGGATGAGGTAGGCATCCATGGGTCGCATGTCAAGCGCCTTGGAGAGATCAGCGATGGCCATGCTGTACAGGTGTATGTGGAAGGCGATGATGCCTGCATGGGGGCAAGCCACGGGTCAGACACGAATAGTTAGATGGGTGATGTTATGCCATACTATACAGCACCATGCCATGCCACGCCATGCCATGCCATGCCAGGTGGATCACATCATATCATACCAACCCATGTCCATGGCATGCAGCCTCACACCCCCTTGGCCAGCACACATGTGACACCTCCGTGCGGCCGGCCAGCACACAGGCCTCACCGCGGTGCTGCAGGGCGTCCTGGTTGTCGGGGTCTATCTCCAGGGACCGGCTCAGATCCTCCACAGCCTGCCATACGGAGAGATGAGAAACATGGGACAGGCATGGAGACTGTGATGATGGATGGGCTGAGGCAGATGTGAGGCAAGGAAATTGTCATGATGGATGGGCTGAGGCACATGTGAGGCAAGGATATCAGGGCACGTGGAATATCGGGGCGCTTCAGGAATCGTCTCAAGCGTCGAGAGGAAAAAAAAAGAATAGATGGAGTTTTCAGTCAACTTGAAAGTTTGTCTGGACTGCCAACTAACTACCTCCCACAAAGCCTTTCTAACCTCACTGCATCTGCACCACTGCTGTCCTGACACCCTCGCAAGCTCATCACTTTCCTTGTGCAACCCCCATCCTCCCCCCTTGTGCAACCCCCATCCTCCCCCCTTGTGCAACCCCCATCCTCCCCCCTTGTGCATCGCATCGCATGCACCTTACTACTTCCCCAAATCCTGCATCTCATCCCCTTCTCGCGTTCCCAACGTGCGCACACTCACCTAGTCACTCACCTAGTCACTCACCTAGTCACTCACCTAGTCACTCAGTCATTCACTCCACGCAAGCACTTGCACACTCACACTCACCCAACCCCCCACAGAGCACGCACCGCCTCCCGTTCGTTCCTCTCGATGTACAGCATGGCCCTCCGCCTGTACAGCTCTGCGCTCCTGGGGAAGCGCTGGATGCCCTGTGGTGAGGGGCAGCAGAGGGGTGGGAGAGAGGTGGATGGGTGATGGGCGGTGGTGAGAGGTGGGGAGCGGTGAGTGCCAGGTCGGATCAGGAGTCACCCAGAGAGTCAATAAATGTACAGCATGGCCCTCCGCCTGTACAGCTTTGCACTCCTGGCCCTGGGTAAGTGATGGATGCCCTGTGGTGAAGGCCAGCAGGAAGAGAGTTTCGACGTCTCAGAAGTTGCAATACGGGTGGGTTGAGCCAGGTGGACCAGGTGAATCAAAGAGTTGAGAAACTGCCTTTGTGAAGTCGTCTTCTGTGAAGTCAGCTCACCTCTGTGAAGTCGTCTTCTGCCTCGTCCAACCGCTTGAGCATGAGGTGGCAGAGGCCCCTGCCGATGTACAGCTGATCTGAGAGCTCTCCGCCCTCTGCTTCTACCTGAGCATGGGGGAGAGATAGAGAGGAGGGAGGGAGGCATGTGAGAAGACCATCCCACTTCGCTTGAGCATCAGGAGGCAGAGGCCCCTGCTGATGTACAGCTGATCTGAGAGCTCTCCGCCCTCTGCTTCCACCTGAGCATGGGGGAGAGATAGAGAGTAGGGAGGGAGGCATGTGATTAGGCCATCCCACTTCGCTTGAGCATCACAAGGCAGAGGCCCCTGCCGATGTACAGCTGATCCGACAGCTCCCCCCCTCCGCTTCCACCTGTGGGGGGGAGAGAGAGAAAGGAGGGGGGCGGGTGAGAAACGAAGGCGGAAAGTGAGATGTCTTGAAGCCCCCCTTCTGATAGTGTAGCGAGCAGGAATGTAGTGAACGGGGTCCAGGGAGGACGTGGTGAGGGGTTTGAGTGAGTGGGTGGGTGGGTGGGTAGTGAGGGGTTGAGGGAGTGAGTGGGTGGGTAGTGAGGGGAGTTGAGTGGCCAGCCACAAATGAACCAGGAAAGTACGTGCGATATCGAGTGGGGTGGACGCACGTGGTTGAAGAGGTTGATCGCTTCGTTGAACTTCTTGGCTTGCATCTGATCTGAGGGCATGCAAATGCGCCATGGTGAATCAAGAACGAGAGTCTGGGGACACACAAGATCTAGTGGGTGCACGCACGTGGTTGAAGAGGTTGATCGCTTCGTTGAACTTCTTGGCTTGCATCTGATCTGAGGGCATGCGAATGCGCCATGGTGAATCAAGAACGAGAGTCTGGGGACACACAAGATCTAGTGGGTGGACGCACGTGGTTGAAGAGGTTGATCGCTTCGTTGAACTTCTTGGCTTGCATCTGATCTGAGGGCATGCGAATGCGCCATGGTGAATCAAGAACGAGAGTCTGGGGACACACAAGATCTAGTGGGTGGACGCACCTGGTTGAAGAGGTTGATCGCTTCGTTGAACTTCTTGGCTTGCATCTGATCTGAGGGCATGCGAATGCGCCATGGTGAATCAAGAACGAGAGTCTGGGGACAAACAAGATCTAGTGGGTGGACGCACCTGGTTGAAGAGGTTGATCGCTTCGTTGAACTTCTTGGCTTGCATCTGAGGGAATGCAGGCGTGCCGTGGTGGGGGAGGGAGGAAAGAGATGCATCATGTATGGTGAATGGATCAGGAGCACTGGACGGGGATGTTGCCTCTACTGTGTACCGTGTGAGATTGTGGAGATTGTGGCATGCGAAAGGCATAGGATGGATGGATGCATGTGCTGGAATGCAGGGAGGGGAATGCGAGTCAGCTGGCTAGCTGCTGCACTAACCATGCTGATGGCTGCTCGAATCATCATCTCCTTGTTCACATGCCCGCCCTGCTTCTCCTTCTCGCGTCCCCCCTCCTTTTTCATGCCCTCAAACGCACCACTACCACCACCACTCCCCTTCCCATCATCCCTAATCTCACTTCTCTTGACTGTCTGCTTCGCCTGCTCCCTCCCTTTCTTCACTCCTTCCCTTCCTCTCCGTCCCCTGTCCTCCTCCTCATCCTCCTCATCCTCCTGCTCTTCCTTGTGACCCCTGGTCGTTCCACGCCCCTTTTGCTCCCCACTGCCCACACGTCCCTTCTTCCGGTCCCCCTCATCCGACCTCTCCTTTTCTGATTTCGCTGCTGCCTCTGCCTTTTTTTGTGTCGCTCGTCCTGCACCAGCAGCCGCAGAACCTGACGCACCTCCTCTCTCCCCCCCTTTCTCAACACTGGCATCTGAACTCCCTACCGCTCCTCTGCGCTCCCCCCTGCTCTCCTCCGCAGCCCCCTTTACCCCACCGCCTGCCCATCCACTCCCCCCTCCCTCCGCGTGCATCAGGGCGCACAGGTCCGCTCCCCCCAGCAGCAGCTTCCCCCCTCGGCCAGATGAGGGGGAATCGCAGGCGGGGAGAGGGGGAGCAGAGAGGGGCGGCGGAGGAAGGAGTTTGAACAGCTTCGTTCCTGTGGGGGGAAAGGAGACGGGTGAAATGTTGGAAAGCGGCGATGAGGAGGAGGTGAAACTTTTAATTCGCAAGGGGCAACGCTTAGAGACTGCAGGAATGTTGATGAGTGAGTGAGGGAGATGGTCGCGCACTGAGACTTCTCAACACTGCGAGGAGAAAGACAGCGGCGAATATGGCCGCAGGTCACAAGTGCGTGGGGGGAAAGGGGGAAGAGGGGGGGATATGGTCGATAGGAGGGTTGGAATTTGGGAGACTGTGGGAGCATTTTAGGCGTACCCTTTTTAATCAGAGGGAGGAGGCAGGTGCGGATGCCTGTGCGATGACGGTAACGCTGTGCTGCGGTCCTCTGCTTTGGCACTGATGCGATTAGACGCATTTCCCAATCACATAGACCGGGACTCCTGCACATGACGTGGCATGTCAGGGGGTGACGTGGCATGAGTGGGGTGTTGAAATGTTGATAATCACAATGAGAGTTCGCAGAGCAAGAAAGTGGGAAAGGACTGCAGCGGAAGGATTTCGAGAGGGCAACCGAACCAAGGCAGGGCCGATTGAAGGCAAAGGAAGTCAGAGTGAAACGCACCAGTTGAGTTGGTTCAATGAGGGTACCAACCCCTTGGCTCCATTGATACTCTCATCTTCGTCGCAGCTGCGCGCCGAGCTCGGCAGCACGAACCCCGCTGCTGCCTCCGTCGATTCAGCTTCCAGATTGCGAGTTGCGGGAGAGGCAAGATTCGACGCGGTGTAGTAGCGCCCGGTAAAGACATTGCACAGGGTCAGGTTCAACGAAAGACAAACGAACGTCGCACGAATCGCACGAAGAGATGGCGCCATCGCACACGGCCTAAGCGTGGCGGAGTGTGAGTCTGAAGCGCCTGGGAATCATCAGTAAGAGATTTCGTTGACGGTTGGACCCTCGCCAACAATGTGCAACGGGAAGGAGGTTCCGACGATCTTAGGATGTACGCATTGACGCTGATCGATGCGGTGGAGAGGTGAGTCGAGCTCGCTATAAGACTACGAAAACTTGACAAAAATCCGTCTTTCCTCCTTAGCCGATAATTGTATCAAACGGAAATCGACGTTCGCCTTGATTTGACGACTCGATCACTTGGTCTCGCGACGTAGTCGTGCGACCAAGTCTTTGTGACACAGTCTGCGACTAAGGCTGTTGCGACACTCCTGCGAACAATGCGACTGATTTTGTTGTGAATCCCTGCCTTCGAACATAAGGTGATCAGGGTGAGGAGAATACCGGTATGCCGGCCTGATGATTGAGTTTAGAAGACTAGAGACTAGCAGAGCCGGCTTTCAATGGAACGGGTCGTTGTAAGTCGTCCAGCCCAGGTCCTGGGAGTACCGACGAAGTGAGCGCTATAGCATACCGAAGAAACTCGTTATTAGAAGGAAGTGGTGGATTGATGCTTATACTTGTAAACTTCAGCAAACAGAGTTTTCTGTTTACTCCAGAATCTGCACTGCCAATGATTGAAGCATCAGAATAGATACATGAAATGGCTTGACAAGTCAATAGTAGTTGCTGAGTGCACTGACAACATGATGGGTTGTGGGAAGCGCATCACGCACTAGGGGCAATTCCCAAGGTGCAGGCTTCACACCCTCATATAGCCATGGCGCCACTGAATCATTGAACTTGGCAAATGTTGGAGAAAGGAGTGCTTCCCAATCAACCTGCAATGCGAAAAATGAGGATGTGCCATACTTATCGTAAAAAACAATCGAATGTGAAGAATGATCTCTTGTGAAGAATGATCTCTAGGACAAGAGGACATCTTGCCCCATGCCCATGAGGGTATGCGTTCACATATACCTGCACTCCCTTGGGGATAAAAGCAGTGGTTTCCATGTCAGCAGCCAGGGACAGACCCAGAATGGAGATAAGTCCCACCATAGCAGACCCTCTAGTGAGAGGCATGAACTGATACCTGCAGGCAACAGAAGTTGACCAGTCAAACACAACTGAGGCCAAAATGCACCACAGATTCCCCGACCAGGCGTGTATGGCATGGTGTAACCCCACTGCCCGGGCAAGAACAGCCATGCACAATGTGCCGTACTGACCAGAAGTACCCCGCTGAACACACACACATAATGAGCCGTACTGACCAGAAGTACCCCAGGCGGAGGATGGCGTCTTGAATCTTCTGGCGGTAGCGATGAGGGTCCGCTGTTTCTGTGTGTGCGTCCATCACTGCAACACACAGCGCCTGGCGGGAGAGAGGAGGGGGAATCAGAAATGGATGGACAATCATTTCAGAGGCATCCGTGTGTGCATCGCTGCCACACACAGCGCCTGGTGAGAGTCCATCACAATGCAAAGAGGAAATCGACGGATGGAGATGAGGGAGATAGTTCCAAGGATGGTTCCAAGGGGGAAATTCCAAGTGCAGTGCTCCCAGTGCATCTGTGCATCTGTGCATCTGTGCTGTGCACACGCACCTGCCATGCTGCTGTGAGCTCCAAGTCTAGGTGCTTCCAACGTGGCCGGTCCACCGAGGTGCGAATGGCAAAGTCAAATGACCGCGCGCTGCAGGTACGGGGCCAAGCGAATGGGGGATGCACAGGAAGAAAACGATGAGGACAGCGGGGTGAAGAGGACGAAATTCGGGAAGGGTTGGTGAATGCGGGCAGCAGGTGCAGGAAAGATGGAATAGCGTGGCTGTGTGCAGGCAAGTGAAGAATTTTGCAAGAAAACGATGCAGCAGGTGCGTTGTGTATGCAGGTAGAGCAAGAACGGTGAGCACATGTAGAAACACAGAGGCAGAAGACGAAGGTGCCAACAGTGTGACATGGTAAAGTGTTAGACACAATGAGAGTAGTGTTGCACTCACGATGCAACAATGGAAAACTCCGTCCCCAGAATAGCCTTGCTGGAACACAGATGAGTGCAGGAGCGATGCCAGCAGGAGCCATGCGGGCGGGGTCAAATTGGCAGCCACCATGCGAGCAGCAGTCATGCACATGAGGGGAGATGGACGGGGGAGGTTAGGAGGGAGACAAAGAGAAGAGGGGAAAGAGAAAGGACGGTGAGAGGGAGGAAGGCGACGAGGAACTCCTGAGGATCGGGTTGATCAGACAGCAAGGATGACGGCAAGAAATGACATTGAGGCACGTGAGCGCTGCTCTTAGTTACCCTGGAATGGCTTCGCTGAAGCACTGCGAGTTGATGAAGAAGTCACAGCCCACGACCGCATGGAGCTCCTGTAGAGTCTTGGCCCGCTTGATCTGATGCCACGGGGCAGAGCATGAAGAGATGGGAGTGAAAGAATGTCACTTTTGTGAAGGAACGTCGTTTTTTAGAATTGAAAAAAAAAAAAAAAAAAAAAAAACGAAGACCACCCCAAGCGCGTGCACCTCACTTCCCTGAATCCGACCTGATTCTTCCCACCACCACATCCCACAGTCGCTTGCATCACACCCCCCTACTTCACATCTCCCAACCTCCCACTCGTATATCAGCACACCAAACTCACACCCTCGATTTTTTCAGCAGCCCTTTCGGCTCACCTTTTCACTGTATTTGGCCTTGGGAATGCTGAACTTGCCTCCCAAGGCTGCACCCTGAATGAGAAATGGAGAGAGGGCAAGGGTGGTGAGGATAGAACGGCGACGGCAAACAGTAGGCAAAGCGCAACACAGTGGATGAAATGGCAATACAGTGGGAGGAGCATGGAGAGTCCATTATATACCAGTTTAGTTTTGAGGCGCCTCAAAACTACATCCACACCATACTTTCAGTTTGCATTCCACCATAGCATGACCTATCCCACACCATGAGGCCATGAACACTCTTAGAGCTCATGGTCATGCCCGTCGCGTTGAAAGCTTCTTCTGCTTCCAGCAGCCGCTGCTTCACCACCTCCAACGTTCTGATTGGTCCATGGAGACAGTTGGCAGGTAGGACAGGAGATAAACAATTCGTAGACACAATGCGTTGAAAACTGCATGATGGCAACAGGCATGTGCTGGGAAAATAATAAAAAAAAGACAGATTTTTCAACGCAAAGCCAAGTCCTACTGGACCACAAATTGTTCGATGTGGTGGCTTTAGAATCAACACAACCATCATACAGGAGCTTCGTTGAGCCTCACCTGTCCTTGAGAGGGTAGTACTTGACGTTCTGCATCTGGCCCACCTGGAGAGCTGTCAGGCCTCCATACCCCCTCTCGATCTCGTTCCTGCTTGCACCACAGCAACACAGACGCACAGCACAGGCAGTAAAAAACGATTCCAACGCCCACAACATCAACTTGAGGCAGGGTGGTGAATACGAAGGTTGCTTGTACACACAGCTGTACTCACAAGGTCCGTGGCCACTCACTATTGGAAGGGAATCAGCGTCAGAGGAAAAACGCTGGAGCAAAGTACTTACCTTATCAGTCCCACACGCAGGTGTGTGTACTCACTCCAGCAGGTCGATCCAAGCCACAAGGTCAGTGGGCTCGCCTATCTGCCTCCACGGCACAATCACATTCAACACGTCCCTCCAGCCTGCCATCAGCTGCCCTCTCCCACCTTCCCTCCCCCCTTCCCTCCCCCATTTCGTTCCCTTTCCTGCATCCACGTCCCTTCAACCCTCCCTGTTGAGACGTCCCAAGAGTCGGTGTACTCACTCCAGCAGGTCGATCCAAGCCACAAGGTCAGTGGGCTCGCCTATCTGCCTCCACGGCACAATCACATTGAACACGTCCCTCCAGCCTTCCATCAGCCGCCCTCCCCCCTTTCCTCCCCCTTTCCTGCCTGCCTTTGGGCCCCTCTCTCCCTTCCTGCTGCCTCCTTTAGTCAGCTTGTAGAACGAGTCTGTGAAAGCCCGTCTTCTCGGCTTTCCCCTCTTGCTGGTTCTTCGCCTCGATTGTGCCCATTCTGAGCTCGTTCCCTGAGGACTGGTCCTGGACGCATCATCATCCTCATCCCCTCGCTCCTTCTCTTCCCCTCTTTCTACTGCTCCTCCCTCTCCTTCCTCGTCTTCTTCGCCCTCCTGTGCCATCTCCTCCCATGCAGTCCGAACCTGGCATGCCATACGATTGTAAGAAGGGAGGGAAGAAGGAAGGGAATGGGGAGTGGTTGAGGGGGAAAGCGAGGACAAACTGGGGGATGGTGGTCAACAGAAGTTGCTAGAGAGCAAGGGAATAGGAAAGGAAAGGACAGGGGGGAATGAACGGGTTTCACCTGCTGCATTACGTCCAGAGCTGCCAGTCCTGCCATGCGGAACTGCAGAAGGATTGGGGCAGGCAGACGAGAGCAAGGAAGGGAGGGCAGAAGGAGAGCTGACATGCCAGTGTGCACAGGCGATGTGCCCCTTGCTGCTCGTGCTTCAGCCTGTGCTCGCTCTATCCTTTCAAGCGTTGTAACATAGCACCGTGTACTAGCAGAGGGGGACTAAAAATTCATTCATGACCATTTGCCGTCCTGCCTCTTGTCGGGCAACAAGCCGTCCAAAAAGTACAGAGCCCTCGTGCCAATCTCATCCGCCCTGCTAATCAGACCGAGGGGCCTCTCTAACAGCACAGCACAGGCAGGCCAGAGACTTGCCCTTGCCCCATTTGAGGCGCCTCAGATGCTACCAGCTTTCCCCATTTGGGGGAGGACGCAGTACTTTCCTGATGCAAGAAAGTACTGCGTCCTCCCCCAATCTCATCCGCCCTGCCAATCACATGCCGCCTCAGCTCCAATCTCATCCGCCCTGCCAATCACATGCCGCCTCAGCTCCAATCTCATCCGCCTCCACAGTCGGCTCACCTGGCGCTTGTTGGGCATGAAGCCGTCCAGAAAGTACTGAGTCCGCTTCCCAATCTCATCCGCTCTGGTAATTATCTCAAGGGCCCCCTCTGACAGCTCAGGTAGGCCAGGGAATTTGCCTTTGCTCCTGGCGCCTGGGGGTAGATCTAGGGGGCGGTATGAGCGGGGCAGCACTGTGGGTGGTAGTCGGCGGATCCAAGCTTCCTGTGAACGGGGGGAAGTTGAGGATGAGGAGGGTGGGTGGATGGGAAGGAGGAGGGAAGAGAAGGCAGGACAAAGAACAAAACGGAAGAGAGATCTAACGGACAGGAGTGCAAAACAGGGACATCAAATACTGCAGCCCTGAAGCAACTGTGGAGAGAAATTTTGATCATGCAAGAACCTTACCTTGAAGCTGACATCAATTGAGACGATCATTGAAGAGCCTCAAAAACCCTCTCATCTTTGATGCACCTCAACAATCAAAGCCTCACCTTGAAGTTGGTGTCGAGATCTTCATCGATCTGGAAGTCAATGAAGGGCCGTGCTAGCTTGGACCACGTGTACGTGGCAATGTCCCTCTGCAAGATGGGCAAGGAGAGAGATTGAGAGGGTGTATCATGCAGGTGACTTTTGAGTCAAATGAGAGGTCATTTGGACCACGTGTACGTGGCAATGTCCCTCTGCAGCATGTGCAACATACATGGTGCATGGTGCATGGTGCATGGGGCAAGGCGCATGGTGCATGGTGCACGGGGCAAGGCGCATAATGCGGTGAACGAGATTGCGAATTAGAGGACTGCTGGACCTGCGCATACCTGCTGACTTGTTGAGAGGGCAGCATGTTTAAAGTTTGACTCAAACCACTGCGGACAAGAGCACAGGTGGGGCGCTAGAAAGAGCTTGCACCTGATAGGAGGCCACATGTGAGCACACCTGATAGAAGGCCACATGTGAGCACACCTGATAGAAGGCCACATGTGAGCACACCTGATGGAAGGCCACATGTGAGCACACCTGATAGAATGCCACACGTGAGCATACCTGATAGAAGGCCAAGGACTGCTGGACCTGCGCATACTCGCTGGCTGCCTGAGAGGGCAGCGCTATAATCACACTGTACTGCTTTATCTGCAACATTCAATTTAACAGCATGGATGCATACCATATTGGGAGGAGGAAAGGGAGGGGAGGTAGTGTTGAGGGGGGGGGGGGGGAGGAAAAGGGGTGGGAGGATTAAGAATTGGCTTTTTGGTTGAATAAGCATGACAAGTATGTGTGAAAACAACACGAACCCGTGAGTTGCACGCAAAACTCGATATGTGCTGGGCTGTTTCAGTACCCATGAGATGACAGTCATGAGATGCATCTGTATGATAGCATTGGACACCTGATTCAGTACTTGATGAAAATGAGATGATAGACATGAAATGCATCTGTCTGACTGCATTCAATGCCTAATTTTTCAACTTTAAATGTGTTCAAAGTCTGAAATGTCAATGTCACAAGTACTAGATAAGGTTTAGCTTCAAAAACTACGTACCATTACCAAATGAAATATAGAGAATTAGCGATAAGCGATCAGCGATTAGCGAGCGGCGATCAGCAGCGATCAGCGATCAGCGATCGGCCATCAGCCATCAGCCATCAGCCATCAGCCATCATCCATCAGCCATCAGCCATCAGCGATCAGCGATCAGCGATCAGCGATCAGCGATCAGAGATCAGGCATCAGCCATCAGCCATCAGGCATCAGCGATCAGCGATCAGCCATCAGCGATCAGCGATCAGCGATCAGCAATCGGCCATCAGCCATCAGCGATCAGCGATCGGCCATCAGCCATCAGCCATCAGCCATCAGCAATCAGCGATCAGCGATCAGCGATCAGCGATCAGCGATCAGCGATCAGCGATCAGGCATCAGGCATCAGCCATCAGGCATCAGGCATCAGCGATCAGCCATCAGCGATCAGCGATCAGCGATCAGCCATCAGCGATCAGCGATCAGCGACCAGCCATCAGCCATCAGCCATCAGCCATCAGCCATCAGCCATCAGCGATCAGGCATCAGCCATCAGCCATCAGCGATCAGCGATCAGCGATCAGCCATCAGCGATCAGCGATCAGCGATCAGCCATCAACGATCAGCGATAAGCGATCAGCAGCGATCAGCCATCAGCAGCGATCAGCGGATCAGAGATCAGCCATCAGCCATCAGCCATCAGCCATCAGCCATCAGCCATCAGCCATCAGCCATCAGCCATCAGCCATCAGCCATCAGCCATCAGCCATCAGCCATCAGCCATCAGCCATCAGCCATCAGCCATCAGCCATCAGCCATCAGCCATCAGCCATCAGCCATCAGCCACCAGCCACCAGCCACCAGCCACCAGCCACCAGCCACCAGCCACCAGCCATCAGCCACCAGCCACCAGCCATCAGCCATCAGCCATCAGCCATCAGCCATCAGCGATCAGCCATCAAGAGATGTAAGGCACAACTTACAGCAGCATTGTAGTTCCCGACTGCATGCAGCGACGAAGCTTCTAAGTAGTTGAGCTCAATGTCCATCGGCCTGAGCTTCAGCCCCTTGTGGGCGTACTTGATGGCATCACTGATAGGGGACGAAGGGAGAGAGGATGCACACAGGCAGAGTTATGAAGAAAGGAAAGGTTGTGGAACGGATATACAGGCACACAGGCACAGGCGGAGCTGAGGTGAGAACAATGGGAAAAGGGAAGGAGTGGGGAAGTGGGCTAGAAAGATAATGGGAAGGGAAGGAGAAACTGTGGCGAGACGAAAAAAGGGGAAGGGGATAACAGAGAGAGGCGATGAAGCAGGAATAAATGAAGATCCTTGTGTCCCCCCTCCCCCCCCCCTTTTCTTGAGCTTGCTGAGCCCTCCTGTTGCCCAATTTGGGTAACCAGGCTCACCTGTGGTCCCCAATGCTCTGCAACTGAAGGCCCAGCCGTAGATATGCCTCTGGTGACCTGCACTCATGCACCCATGCACCCATACAAGATGCACACATGTGAAAATGCATGCATGCACATGTGCGGACATGCACACATGCCAACATGCACACACACACACACACACACACGCATCCTCAGACAGGCACACATGCATGCGGAGCGGACATCATACATGCATGCTCAGATACAACAAGACGAAAACACACGCACAGGAACACAGTCACGCGGGCATTCGTACACAAACAGCTTAAGAGTAGACACAAACAGCATATGCTCTCAGCACCCTCTACCCACACACATCCCCCCCTCTCCCCCTTCTTCCTCACCACCCGCCCCCCCGTGCACAGTGCCCCCCCCCGTGCACAGTGCCCCCCCCGTGCACAGTGCCCCCCCCGTGCACAGTGCCTTTGCTGCCAACAATCTCACTGCCTCTGACACTCTGCCTTCACACACCACGTCACCCGCCTCTCAACTCACTCTTCCAGAGCTAGTGCCTTGTGCAGTGCATCCACTGCAAGGTCCGCCTGCCCCAGCTCCTTGTGTGCGCGGCCCTTGTCACTCCACAGCAGCGCCACCCGTGGATGCCGCCTCACTGCCTCCTCCATCACCTCAACCGCGTCCCTCCACTGCCCTGCTCCTCCATAGCTTAATGCCCGAACGAAGTGGGGAGAGAGAGGGAAGGAGGGAGCTTGAAGAATCTAGAGAAGTACCGAGTGCGTTCCTACGTGTCCAATCCTTGTCACTCCACAGCAGAGCGACCTTTGAGTGCCACCTCACTGCCTCCTCCATCACTTCAACCGCCGTGCAGGGCCTGATTTAGGGGGAGGGAGGAATGTGTTTCGAGTATGGACGTGCGGGACTTAGCACGACACTGATGAGCATGGGTTCACTGGGATGGGCTCGACTCGACTGAGGCAGTGAGATCATGGATTGTCTCCTCTGAGGCGCCCAAACTTACCACGGCACGGATGAGCATGGGGTCCTTGGGTTGCCGTTTGAGTGCGGTAGTGAGGTCGCTGATTGCCGTCCTAAACGAGGTGCGGGAAAATATAACTATCAAGCCATCTCAATGCTTACGACGGCACGGATGAGCATGGGGTCCTTGGGCTGGCGCTTGAGTGAAGCAGTGAGGTCGCTGATTGCCGTCCAGAAGTCACCTGCCTGGAATGCCAGCACTCCTGAGGGCATAGCATGTGGTAGGGAGAGAGAAGCAGAGCATAGCATCTCTCTAGGGAGACTGTCTGTTAGGATGTCTGCTGCTACCGTAATTGTTAAGTTGGCAACTGAATTCAGAGAGAAACGCCCTCAGAATGGGAAGAGAACAGCCCAAAGCGCAAAGTTTGATCTTCAAGTTGCAGGCAAGAATTGACATGACACTCTCTCATGGTCCCCTCTGCACTCTCACGAGGTAGTGTGGCTCGAGGTGCAGAGCGACTCAAACATCCCTCACCTCTTTCCTGAATCGTCTCAGGGTGGTTTGGCTCGAGTTCTAGAGCACGAGAGTAGTCGCTCAGGGCGTCTGCCTGCCTCCCCATGGACGCCAGCAGGTGAGCCCGGCGCCTCCAAAAGTCCGCCACATGTGGGTAGTGCTCTGTGCCCTGAGAGGCGTGGGGTTTTGAGAGAAGCGGAGGAGTGAAAGCAGGGAGGAGAGCAGCAGGTGAGTAAGCCTGCCTTCATCAGTATGCCTGCCTCCCCATGGACCCCAGCAGGTGAGCCCGGCGCCGCCAGAAGTCCTCCACATGTGGGTAGCGCTCTGTGCCCTGAGGGGTGGTGGAAGCAGGTGGGTAGGAGAAAGCATGAAGGATGAGCGAAAAATGATTCAAGGAAGGCGGAGGAGTGTGAGCATGAAAGAGAGCAGCAGCTGACCTCGCGGTTGAGGAAGAGTTGAAACCGTGGGGAAAGTGAAGCACGACGACCGGGTAGCTGAGATCAGAGCAGGCAATTTAGCCAAGAGGAGAGGACTTAGCCAGCATTGGACGTTACTCACCTTGGTGAGGTCCTTGAGTGCCTTATCCTTATGCCCCAGGAATGTGTTTGCGATGCCTCGGCCCAACAGCACGTGCTGTTGCACCTCGGGATGATCCACTTTGTCCAGCTGCCAGGGGAGATAATGGAGTGGGGGGTGTCAATAGAGATAGCGAGGAGGAGCTGGAAGGAGCAAAGCTTCCCATCCCTCCCTCGACGAGCCACCAGTGAAGAACAATGCATTAATGCTCGCTTAAAGCCCCCGTCACTTCTGCTCACCTTGCTGAATTCAAGAGCAGCTTCCGAGTAGCTTCCCTGCCGTAACTGTTGGGTCGAGAACGCTCGAAGGGGGAGATAGAGACGATGTCATAAAAAGGTGAAGCAAAGCATGAAGTACACGGGAACTGAAGCCACTCCTAAGCTCGTATTTTCCTTTTGTTTCCTGAACAAAAGCGTCCGCCAGCCTCACAATGCAGAGCTCCTTCATACCCTTCTCTCCGCCTTTCGACTCGCACCCAAATCAAAGTAGCACGCACGAGCCCAAATCAAAGTAGCACCCAAATCAAAGTAGCACCCAAATCAAAGTAGCACCCAAATCAAAGTAGCACCCAAATCAAAGTAGCACCCAAATCAAAGTAGCACCCAAATCAAAGTAGCACCCAAATCAAAGTAGCACCCAAATCAAAGTAGCACCCAAATCAAAGTAGCACCCAAATCAAAGTAGCACCCAAATCAAAGTAGCACCCAAATCAAAGTAGCACCCAAATCAAAGTAGCACCCAAATCAAAGTAGCACCCAAATCAAAGTAGCACCCAAATCAAAGTAGCACCCAAATCAAAGTAGCACCCAAATCAAAGTAGCACCCAAATCAAAGTAGCACCCAAATCAAAGTAGCACCCAAATCAAAGTAGCACCCAAATCAAAGTAGCACCCAAATCAAAGTAGCACCCAAATCAAAGTAGCACCCAAATCAAAGTAGCACCCAAATCAAAGTAGCACCCAAATCAAAGTAGCACCCAAATCAAAGTAGCACCCAAATCAAAGTAGCACCCAAATCAAAGTAGCACCCAAATCAAAGTAGCACCCAAATCAAAGTAGCACCCAAATCAAAGTAGCACCCAAATCAAAGTAGCACCCAAATCAAAGTAGCACCCAAATCAAAGTAGCACCCAAATCAAAGTAGCACCCAAATCAAAGTAGCACCCAAATCAAAGTAGCACCCAAATCAAAGTAGCACCCAAATCAAAGTAGCACCCAAATCAAAGTAGCACCCAAATCAAAGTAGCACCCAAATCAAAGTAGCACCCAAATCAAAGTAGCACCCAAATCAAAGTAGCACCCAAATCAAAGTAGCACCCAAATCAAAGTAGCACCCAAATCAAAGTAGCACCCAAATCAAAGTAGCACCCAAATCAAAGTAGCACCCAAATCAAAGTAGCACCCAAATCAAAGTAGCACCCAAATCAAAGTAGCACCCAAATCAAAGTAGCACCCAAATCAAAGTAGCACCCAAATCAAAGTAGCACCCAAATCAAAGTAGCACCCAAATCAAAGTAGCACCCAAATCAAAGTAGCACCCAAATCAAAGTAGCACCCAAATCAAAGTAGCACCCAAATCAAAGTAGCACCCAAATCAAAGTAGCACCCAAATCAAAGTAGCACCCAAATCAAAGTAGCACCCAAATCAAAGTAGCACCCAAATCAAAGTAGCACCCAAATCAAAGTAGCACCCAAATCAAAGTAGCACCCAAATCAAAGTAGCACCCAAATCAAAGTAGCACCCAAATCAAAGTAGCACCCAAATCAAAGTAGCACCCAAATCAAAGTAGCACCCAAATCAAAGTAGCACCCAAATCAAAGTAGCACCCAAATCAAAGTAGCACCCAAATCAAAGTAGCACCTTCTCATCTTACCGCAGTAAACGCTCTGCCGAGCACCAAGTGGTGGGCGGGATCCGCTCTCATGCCCTGAGCCCCACTGCCCGACCCTTGCTTCGCTCCCTTCTGCCTCTGCTGCTTATCCGCCTCTAGCTTCTCCTCCTGCTGCCTCATTATCCGCCTCAGTCTCTCCTCTTTAGTCTCCTCTTTACCCTCCTCACTCTTTTTCCTCTCTGCCTCTGCTTTCTCTTGTTTCTGCGTCGTCTGCCTCTCTAGTCCCGTTCTCGCGATACCCGGTGCCTCTTCCATCCCGCTTCTGGTTTTTTCAAATGTCAGTTTCTCCTCTGCCCCTCCGCTCCTTGCCCGCCCTACTTCTCCCAAGCTTCCCCCCGCGCCTCCCCCTGCTGTTCTTCCTTCCCCCCCTCCCCTATCCAGGTGCATCAGAGAGCACAGATCTGCTCCCCCCAGCAACGGCTTCCCTCCTCGAACAGGGGAGGGGGGATCACAGGAGGGTGAAGGAGACGCGGAGGAGGGAGGCGGAGGAAGGAGCTTGAGCAGTTTGGTTCCTGTGGCAGGGAGAAGAGGACGGGGAGGGGGGGAGGATGTCACGGGATAAGCGAAATTGAGTCAATCCAGGTGGATGTGATAGCTGGTCGCAAGTGCGAGGAAGGGGACGGAGTGTGAAGGAAGAGAGGAAACGACAAGCTATGGATGCGTGCGTGCACCTTTTTTAATGTATGGAAGAAGGCATGTGTGATCATGCAAGCGTTGACGACGGTCGTGCGTTGTCAGTTGCTGAGCTGGCACAGACGCGATCAAATGCAGCTCCCAGTTACATAAAGAGGGATTCCTGGACATCGTGCGGGTGACGTATAATGATCAGAAAAAAGGATTATTCCATGACGGTGAGCCCAAGCAGAAGCACTTAGATCAGAAAAAGCGGAGGGGAAGCAGGACACTGGACGAACACCAGTGGAAGCATGCGTGGGTCCCTGAGCCGTGTCACTGAGACATGTCAAAGCGAGTTTGCAATTCGCACCACGTGAGCTCTTTCAAAGAAGGAAGGACACCCTTGGCTCCATTGTTCCTCTCATCCTCGTCGCAGCTGCGCGCCGAGCTCGGCAGCACGAACCCCGCTGCCGCCTCCGCCGATTCACCCTCCCGATTGCGAGTTGCGTGAGGGGCGAGATTCGGTGCGGTATAGTAGCGTCCGGTGAAGACATTGCATAGGGTCAGGTTCAGAGAAAGGCATACGAACGTCGCACGAACCGCACGAAGCGAAGGAGCCATTCCAAAGGGCCTAAGCGTCGCGGAGTGTTAAGTCCGAAGCGCCTCAGAACCATCAGTAAAAGCGAGCGGATGGACTCGCGCCTACGATGGGACTACGAGGTTCCGACGTTCTTAGGAGGTCCGCATTGACGCAGGTCGATGTGCGGGTCAGGTGGGTCGAGCTCGCGACTGGACCCCCGCCAGAAATCGTATCTATCGAAATTCGACCAAAGCTCGCTTGATCTCGCGACGACGTCCTGCGACTAGGTCTGTTTCGTCAGTCCTACGATCAATGCGACTGGAAAGACTGCTGTGAAACCTGCGACCAATGCGACCGAGTCTCCAATGAAGTCTTGCAATTATGAGCTCGATCACGTGCAATGTGTAACTTGGCTGCCGCGCGAACCTATCGGAGTGAAAAATACCACTTCGTTTCTGCCTGACGGGCTCGGGCGAGGCGAGACTGTTGCTTCAAATGGAAGCAGAGATGAATGGTCCTGGTCCTGGGAATACTGACAGGTAAATCTTCGCATAAGAACGCTCGCTACAAGCTTTGTTTAAAAAAAGGACTACAAAATGGAAGATGCTTGCACACTCACACTTGCAAAGTGAGCACATAGTGACAAACACCCGAATCTGCTCCGCAGAGGCTTGAAGCATCCAGACGAACATGTGATAACTGACATATTATGGTCTGACAGGTCAATAAGTATTGCACTGATGAGAGAGATAATGTGTTTTGGGAAGTGCATCATGCATGTATCATGCATCAGTCCCAAGGTGCAGGCTTCAAGCCCTCATTTAGCCATGGCGCCATAAAACTGATGGACGTTGCAATTGCTGAAAAAAAAAGTGCTTCCAAATCAACCTGCAATGCACACATTTATGATACAACATACGGTAATCACATTAAGAACACTTAACAGAAAAAAAAAAATAAAGAACTTAGAGGGATTCTTGACCTATGACTGAGGGTGTGAAAGAACGCACCAGTAGCACTCAGGAATAAGCGGTGGTTTCCATGTAAGCAGCCAGGACAAAACCAGCATGGAGATCAGCCCCACCATGGCAGATCCTCTAGTGAGAGGCATGAATTGATACCTGCAAGCAACACAGATTCACCAGTCAGACACGACTGAGGCCAAAATGCAGCAGCGATACTTCGAACCAGCCAGGCATGCACAGAACGTTGTAAACCCCCTGACCAGGCATACCAGTGGCTCCATCAAAATGGGTCAGAACGAGTTCCTTTACAATCTATGCATCAGTGCTCAGACTGGTGGGTAGCGGTTCAATCCTGATTGACTGTGTCTTGCACCAGAGTCAATACATCACAGAAGCAACTGAGATGACCCACAACCAAAATTTTGGACATTGAACTTGTTGACCATGGTTGGTGGTAAAAATGCATGATCCAGAACAGCCAGCATGATTCTGGAGTAAGTAGGACCGATAACGCGAACGATTTCAGTAAACTCCTGACAGATAGTACCTGCAACGACAGTCACTCTGTAAGTGAGCTACATTCTTGATTGACTTCACACTCACCAATACACGATCCACAGAAGATTGTACATAATGGACAACACTCCGCATTGTTGATAAGGGACTCGCTCATGATTACCTGCAGAACACAGCTGAGTCGTCACTTCTATACTATGCTCAAGTAGCTTGCATTCTTGACTTAAGACTCACGGTTCATGACATGTTGACGGATCATACTCGCTTGTATCAGTATCTTGTCCATAGCGTTGACAGAGCCGGCATTCTGATTCAAGCTTGTTATTTCCTGAAGCGGAACTTCGAATTCATCCAGATTCTTTAGGGATTATGGCCAGTTACCTGCACCGGCCACACAGCTCTTGCTGGCAATAACCTGAAAATGCAGTCGATGTCAATGCTTAATCATTGCGTGAAGCATCCATATTTTCATGTTTGAATGGCACGAAATGTCAGAATCCCAGCCACTAACCACTGGGATAAAAGGGCTTGTTTATGTAGCGGGTGAGTGCGCCCATAACCCCCCAGGCCGCCATGCCTGTAACCCTTCCCTAGGATCAATCGGGGATCACCAGTGGACCTCTGACACCCCCCCGC